ATTCATCAAGTCATATAAATACATCACGTCATCCAAGTATTAAATAAAATAATTCCAACTAATTCATAAGAATACATGCATCCTCTAATTATTTAATTAAAAACAATTCTAATTAAATCGGGGTGTTAGACATGCTGGAAGTAATTATACTCAGCTATTAAAGGATGACCAAAGAAAGAAATATAGATGTCTTACTCTATGTGCCATACATTGTGGGTGACATATTGGTAACTATGAGGAACATATCTGAGGAAGAAAATGCTTACTGCCTATGGAAATTATGAGGAACATGGAGAGATTAAACCATAAACATATGTTAAAGAAGATATCTTGGATATCATATAGGATAATAATTCTCTTAAGTTTGAGGAAAGGTTACTAAAGAAGAAAAAGGTGTGTCACCAGAAAACAAAGGAGAAGGTTGTTGTTAATAAGGATCTCATGGTTGAAAAGTGTAGGAGCGCTATGGGGATCTACATTTGTGAAACCTTGTGGCAATTGATGTTGGGGATTTGTGCCAAAAGAAAAAAAGAGTTTATCTCTCCTAAGACCACTTTGGGACTAAAACTAAGGAGAATTCATATATTTTTTAGATATGTTACAATTGGTGTGTCGTTCCAAACAAGAAAAACCCTATTTGTAATTCATGTTGCCCTTAGATTCAGGATTAAACTTTTCAAGCTCATCCTTACAACATGAATCAAAATTCTAGAGGCTTGAGTGGAAACGTCTGCGTCAAGGAAATTTAAGTCCCTAAGGTTGTTGGTGATATAATGGAATCTTGGTTAAACACAGCCAAAGAAGCAGGAAAAGTCTGGAATAATATCTCCATAGTGGATTCTTCTGGAGGCAACAAGAAGATTAGGCTCAAAAACATGAATCTTGAGAATATTAGAAGAATAGAAGTTGTTGTTGCAACATTTCTGGAGTAAAGTGATTCAAATTCAGATGATGACATTTTGCTTTGGTTGTTAATATTAGAAGATGGAGTGTGGAGCCTTCTATAAATTTAAGACTAGAAGTGAATTTTCCCCTCAACTCAATAGTATTTTGGGTATGTTTCTCTTGTTATTCTTTAAGCGCTCTATAGCCTCTTGAGACTGGTTTTTTTTATACATCTTTTGATGTTGATCTGGTAATTTTTTTCATGTTTTATTTGTGTATGTATCGACATACTAATCTTGCATGATTGACCTTGTGCATTCTATCCTCTATTCATGCTAACTTCTTTTAAGACCTAGCCCTTTGTCAAATTATGGCAGGGGGGGGGGGGGGGGGTAATAAGGAGAAATTGTGTATCTACTATGTGTAGGTAAACCTTGTGATTGTTTAGTATTAGTGCTCCATTCGGGACCATCAGGAAAGACGTATGGTTCATGTATATGTGCAAGCAGATCTAAAAGTTAGTTTACTTGTGGTAGTATATTTTGTATATCCTAATCTTTAACTACTAATTGTTTGTGTTATATATGACTAAGTTTGTGAATGATTTCATATTAATGATTGTGTGCTACTAACTATATGCTAAATGGATACATGTATGACTAAGTCTGTGAATGATTGCATGTTGATTGGTCTATTTGTTTTGGAGCAATTGAATGCATTTTGTGTAAGCATCTCATCTTGATGCTTCTGACTGCTGCTGCTGTTGTGCTTAAATCATGATATATTGGAAGAATGTTGCTCCTGCTGACTAAATGCTATGATGAAGACTAGTGTTGCTACTGTTGGATGAATGCCATTGATTCTACTGGTTGTTACTTGTTCTGATTTGAACAATGTGCAATGCCTTGAATATTTGAACAAGGTGTTATATCTTGAAAAGTTATTTTGTTACAATTTGTCAAAGAGGGAGATTGAAGTTCTTTGTGAAATGGTCATTTGGATTGGCTGCATTTTTCAAAACAACAACATGGAAAAGTATTCAAAGTGTTCAAGTTGATCTATTTTTCTAAATTTGTATGGAGGTGCAGAAGGGACACATGATGGACACGATGTTTTAGTATGCTGCTATGACATATGGGCCTTGCGCATCAGAACTTGGCTGATGCATTTTGGAAGATTCTCTGATAAAAAATTGGATAAGATTTTATTGTTATTAAGTTAACAATATGATTATATGATTTATTAGACAATTGTGAAGATCAAATCAAATTTATAGTGATTTAAATTTGAACTTGCAACAAACCAAATCACATCTTTTTGTTGGAGATATTTAAGGAACATATCAAATATCCAATAGAATCTGCATCATTTCTAAACGAAATCAAATCTCAAATCCATAAAGAAAATCCCAGAAGAATTATGCTATATAAGGATCACACAACCTACTTTAGATTTCAAGCATTCCAATTTAAAATTTTTAGAGTGCTAGGTTTTGTGTCTTGTATTCCACGCTAATGTCGTAATATGATTAGTGTAGAATCTATATGTACACGTCTATGTTTCATTAAATTGGCATATAATGTTTGTCTAGTTGAGTTGTAAACTTTAACATTATTAATCTTGTTGATTGAAGTTGATCACTAGGGTTTAGTGGTTGTAATCACCTATCATGAATTGTGTGATAGAGATAGAAATTGAGTCTCATATCTAGGGGGAAGCTTTAAATAGAAAGTGTAGCGGTAAAAAGTTGAGATTAAGCTATTAATTAACTTAACTCTCAGAGTGAAAGTTGCCACCAAACTTTATTGTTCCAAAAGGAATGGGAAAAGATAGAATAAAACCCACAAAAGCATGTGAAGCAACAAGAAAGACAAAAAAGCAAAGCAAAGTGCCAATCACACTAAGAGAAAAGGGCACATGGGTAGATTATGCAAAGGAAATGTATTAGCACCCTAAACATCTATTATACTCAACGGGATCCACTGTGTTTGTTCTAATCAAAGGGTGTGTTATATCTAAGACTTAATTGCTAAAGGGAATGTATGAGTGGATTATTAAAGGTAAGAACAAAAGAAATATTTTTTATTATTATGTTCGCCTCAGTTTTACAACCTCGTGCCTGCGTATCTCAAAAGAATCAGAGCACCGTAGTTCTTCTAAAAAATAAAAAGTTGTTTGTTGGTTGATTTTAAATGAAAGACATGTTGTATTCGAGTGAAAAACATACTTACTACCCACATTTATGAGGAAAAAGTATTTGCATCACCTTGATGAAGTATTTTCTTGGATTTAAATCAACAAGGAAATTTCTCAACATACATGTGGAAAATGTCATCACTTCACTACATATTATAGAAGTATAGTAGTTTGCATCACTACAAGAATAAACAAGAGTGTAATCTTTGAGAAATATTTTAAAGAGAAAAGTGCACAAAGGGCATACAAATGATTTGAATAAGTTGAAGTATTTTATTAGGAAATCCCTCAAGTGGTCTCTAGGGGTACTCGAATCCATCTCCTTTAAGTTTTGAAAGTGTTTGAGATACGTATCATACTAAAGTCCATGACATGAAGACCCTTAGATGATCGAGCCAGATGCCTCGGATCCGAAGTCCTCTTCAGGTATTTAAGGCTCATGATGTATTGTACGTATCTTTATTCATTAAGTATTTTGATTTTTTGATTAAGAAAATGTTTTTGTTTTAGAAAAGAAAAAGAATGCAATGCAAAAGGAAAGATAAGAATACTAAGAGAAACTAATCCTAATGTTGTCATGCATCATGGTCCTAAAGTTAAGATCAAGAGAACTCTACTTAGTTGTTGTCATACTTGGATTAAGGTCCTAAGGTGTAATTAATTCAAATTAATCAAAAGATTAAAATTGAATTAAAAATCCTAAAGGGACATGTCATTTCAACACAAAATAATCCTCTATTCAAGCATCTTATTTGATCAATATCACACAAAAAACACACAAAACATGATGTTAAACTTGATTTAAAAAAATGTTAAGAACATGAAAAAATAATAGGAATAAAATCTAATTAAATCCTAAAACACTTCTAAAAAAGTCTAAAGCATTTTTTACATACACCTTTTTTTTCATAATTATTTTTAGTACCTAAAATCAATAAAAGAAACTAAAACTAAAAAAAAATTAAAATGGAAGAGAAATATTAAAAGAATGAGAAATAGAGGGAGGTATGAAGTCAGAACCAAGGGTTTGGTCAGAAAGTGGCACTAAGGCCCAGCCAGAAAGGTCCAACAAGTAATTTTTTTGTTCAAGCTCTTCAGGCTCCAAAAAATGGTGTAACTGGCCAGAAGTGAGGGTGGAAGTAGCGAACAAACCCAAGGAGATTCCACATTAATCCAATTCCATTCCCTATTTTTTTCAGCATATTATTATTTGATTTATTATTAGAAAATATAAAATTAAAATATGATTAAAATTGATGAAAACAGTGTGTTTGGTGGTGTATTAGGGTTGAGACTTTTCAACTCTCACGAAACGGAGTTAAACTCTCTTCTCTTTCACGAACGACACCGCTGCACCTTTAAACTCAACTTCTCCGATGACTTCATCACAGCACTGCCATGGCTTCTCCCTCTGTCTTCTTAGTCCTATGCTTAACTCCGTCTCTAGTTCATTTTTCATCCCGCTGTTGCCGTTCAATTTTGCTCAAGAACATCTCAAAACCTCTGTCTCACTCTTTTCTTCGATGATGCTGCTCGATTACATTCACGCTTCTCCGATAAAATCATCACAACTTCACCGTGTTCCTCCATAAACAGACCTGCTATTCACTCTCTCCGTCTCAAGATTTTGTTCGTTCACCTTCATCCTCTCCTCACGACATGGACGCAAACGGCCAGGAAAAAATAGCGCATTGACGATAATGTTTAAAGAAAGATGAAGAAGAGAGAAATACTTATATGTCCGAGTCGCTCCGATGGAGTTTCAAACGTGATGAAAACGAATTGAAATCCATGAATATTTGCTCATATATGCTTACCTATTCCTCCTTCTTCTTCTACCATGTCGCTTCTGTTGCGTGAAGAATGATACGAAAATAATGTTGTTGTTGTTCTCGCGATGCAGAATCCATGTTGCGATGAAGACAATGATGAAGAGAGATGAAGTTATTTGCGTTTGAAGATGAAATAGTAACAAATACAAAGATGATGCAAGGAATCATTGTTGAGAAGTGAAGATGATGTTGAAGCTTTGAAGATGCAGAGAGAGTGCAGAGGAATTTTGCAGGAAAGATGAGAGAAAATGAAGTTTGAAGCTCTCAGATTTTTTGTGAATGAATCGTCTCCCCCTATTTTTGTGAAGAATTTATGTTATATACCATATGGATTTTATTACAAGTAACTAGATCTCAGCCCTAGGCTTCTGAATTTCAGTTATAGATTGATAGAGGAGATTGAAATGGATAGGAGTTAGTTATTCTGTTATGAGTTGTAACTGGATTTTAGTTATGTTTCTGATTTTTTTATTTCCGAATTTTCTGTTTTATTTCCCTCTTTATTTTCTGTTACATAGGTATGAGCTGGCGAGAAACTTGAGTCTTATTCTTCTTTCTTATGCTAACTGATCCATTAGTTGAACTGGTTTAATTCTTTTTCCAATCTGGTTTTTAAATGGAGGGAGGGCAACTCAGCTTCTGAATGGATATGGTCATGAACTGTCTTAGGTTTTGTATTGATTTTTCTGAATAGTTTTAATGGATTATATAGTTTTTGTTGCGGATGGATGTAGTATGTACATGGATGATATACAATGAGTTTTATGCAGGTTTTGGTTATAAGTTGCAGCAAGGGTTAGTATTTCGCTTAGCTAATTTATGTGTTAATTTGTGGACAGGTTTTGTAGGCTTTTATGTTCACGGGCAAAGGCATGGTTGGATAATGAGGATGAACCAAGCTTGCATATGGTCATGAAGAATTTGAAAGAGTTTAGCATAGATTTAGGCATGAACTTGTAATGTAATTTTATTTTCATGTAATTTTTCAAAATGTAATAGAATGGTGAATCTCTTGTAGCTTGTGACTTTGAATGAAGCTGGAATGAAGTCTTGAATTATTTGAATGAAAAGCTTTGAAAATCATGAATGAGACATAATGGATTTGAGGATACTTGGAATTGAAATGAACCAAAATAATGACCTTTGAGTCTTAATCTTGAATAATGCCATCAATATGTCTCTTTTGCCAAATTGCAACTTGTATTTCAAGAAACCAATCATGAATGAATTGTCCAATTTTAACATGCTTAAATCAACTTTAGTCTCTTTGACAAATTTAGATAATTTGGACTTGAAATGAAATCTTTTGAACTTGTAATCAAGTAAGCCATATGGCACTTGCGCAATAAGAATTTGAAGGAATGCTTTCAAAATCAAAACTTGCATTATAAGAAGAACAAAAAGGCCTTGTAAATTGGAATTGAATGAAGTTGAACTTCTCTTGCGTGAAAGGACTTTACTTGCAAAACCATGAGGCGTGCCTTAATCACAAATAATTCTCAAACACATCTTCTGTGTCACGCTTGACCAATCAACCTCATTCTTTAATTGAATCACAAATTCAAGAAGCAATATGAATCCTATTTGAAATTTTGATGAGATCTCAATTTATAGCTTGAACAACAAGAAGCATCTTGATTTGATGAAAACTTCAACCAATTATTAACCCTTTGACAAGTAACATCACAAGAAAGAAATCCTTGATTAAATCCTCTAAACTTCTTGAAAGGAATGTCTTGTGGAGAAAGCAATTAGGAGAAACCCTAATTCCTTGGATCTTGAGTGCATATTGATGAAGAAGGCTTGAGATGGTGAAAGAAACAAAACTCTAGTTCAAGAACACGCTCATTTGAAATTATGATGAAATCTTAAGCACACAAGTTGAACCTTAAAGCACTTGTCCCTTGAAGAAATTTTGATGACGACAACCTTGTATCTCGAGGAATCTTGCCAAGGAAGATATTTATCATGCTTGTGATCCAAAACCCTAGTTTCACACTAAAAGTGATGAATGAACTAGTTGAATCAAATTTGAGTAAGGTAGACACCTCAATCCATAGGGAAAAAACCTTGATGCCAAAATCCCTTTGATCCCTTACTTTAGGAGCTCAAAAGTATGAATGATTTATGATGTAAATGCATATGATGTAATGAATAAATATATTAGGGGTAAAAAATGGGGTATGACAATTGTTAGGAAGAGGCATTGAACAATATTGGCTTGTAAGTCGAAATGTACTAAGCTACTAATAGTGAATTTCCTTTATTTGGATTGTGGGCTCAACCCTTCAGACGTATGTGTAATTTTACCGAACTGGATTACTAATTCTATGTGTTATTTATCTTTTTTCAGCTCTATCAACTTGTATAAGTATTGACATGTGCTGGTACAACTTGTCAAACCAATTATTCTAACATCACATATGACATCCATCTCCCGAGAAATAGAATTTCAGTTTTTTTTCCTTTGGAACCTCAGGAGGATCAAAGGATTAGAAGATAGAGTGGATGATGAAGGTTTAATCGTTTTGAGATAAGATGAATGAGAAATGTAATTTAAGTATGAGACCATCGTGAGAAAAGAAAATGAGAACAAGAGGGTGAGAGAAACTGAGAGGGTGAGAGTAACAGAGCAAACTGGACCATCGTGAAATAAAGGAGAGAGAGAGCAGGAGGACTGAAGCACAGGAGAACTGAATACTATGTATCACCATAAGAGATAATAACTACATGCTATGTGAACAATCTACCTGAAGATATTACTGAGATAGAAATAGTGAAATTGTTTGAAAGATGGGGACGAATTTATGATGTATACATCGCAAAAAAGAGAAACAAACTGGGGAAGATCTTCGCTTTTGTGAGATTCGAATGCGTTAAAGATGAAGCATGGTTAGAAAACCAAATGACTTATATATGGTTTGGATTATACAAGATATGGGCAAACATATCAAAATTTTCAAGACCTGGGGATTGAATGAAACATCAACTCCTTTAGAGAAAGTAAAAGGTTAAGAGATTATCACAGTAAGGAGCATGTCCAAGATAAAAGATTAAGACTTAAGGTAAATCCAAGGGTGGTACAGAGCTATAGATAAGAGGGAAGAACATATGCTCCAGTAGTCAGGCACTTTGGATCTTCAAAAGTTCAGAAGGATAAAGAGAATAAACAAGCAGAGCATAAGTGGGAAGGGGTGAGCATACATATTAAGGAAGAAGATATGGAATGGGCAAGGAAAGGTTACATAGGTTGTCTCCGAAACATGGAAGATTTAACTTCAATTAATAAAAAACTGGTCAATGAGGGTATTGTCACTGTAAAAGCATTACCTATGGGCGGAGAAAATGTATTCATTAAAGTAGACGTAGACGAAGACTTCATCTCCTTGAAGAAGGATTACAAAACAGTATTCAATCAAATGTTCTCAGTGATTAGGAGTTGGGAAATGCGTGACATTGGTGGAGTGAGATTCATATGGTTTCGAATGATTGGGGTCCCCATGTATGCTTGGAAGAGGAATGTCTTCTCTTTATTGATAAAATCCTTTGGCGGGCTCATTAAAATAGATCCAATGACGGAAAATTTGCAGAGACTTGATATTGCAAAGGTTCATGTCATAACACCAAAATTGGAGTTTATCAACAAAGTTGTAAAAATCCATATCAATAAAGAATATTTTAACATTAGACTTATAGAGGAGATCTGTGAATGTTCCTACATGGAAAATGAAAGGATTAAGTTGTAGTGGATCAATCAAGTCGAAGAAGATGACGATACAAATTCATATTCATCATTCATACCACCTTCAGTGGGGGCTATGGAACACAACAGAGAGAGAGAGAGAGAGAGAGGGGATGGAGAATAATTATGAGCAAGTACCGGGACATGCAAAACATAACAATGTTACGAAGCTCGAGAATTATCAAACATTGAAAAGACAAGAAGAAGTCATACAAGAGGTTAATAAGATATGGGAGAGAGTAGATACAAGCGGTGGCGTCTATTATGGGGCAGAAGATCAAGAAATGGAGCAGAATAGGCATAATTACAATGTTCCAAGACAAAATACCATTACACCCTTGGTGGCAGAAAATGAATTTCATGGGTCCATAATTGTTTATTTGGACGGTAGTAACAAGAATGACTAATTAGAGTATGTGGGTCAAATCCAAATCAAAAGCCCAATCCACCATAATAGTCCTAATCTGACTGAAACATTCAATGGAAACCCGACCCAATTTCTAGATACAAACTGTGGGGTAACTTCGATCAACTCCGAGAGTCAAAAGTCTCAAAGTAGTTGTAAAAGAAAAAAAGAAATTTCTCCTTCGGAGAAGACTGAGTATGTCAGTACCACAAATGGGGAACAAGAAAATTATAAGCAAGATCAAATCCAACCTCTTCAAGAAAAGATAGAAGAAGAAGAAGAAGAAGAAGAAGGAGTGCTATTCTCAGAGAAAAGAAGAAAACCCGGCTTAAGAGGAAAAAAGAGAAGAAGCAAAAATCTTCTTGCAAGCAAAGGAAAGTCACACATAATCAGGTACAGATTTCAGTTGATCTTGATCTAGTAGTGGATGAGTCAGATAAAGTCAACTGGAAATAATACATGGGGAGGAAAAAGAAATAGCAAAAGATGTGAGGAACTTAGGAAAAGATTTTGGGTTAATTCATAAGGGGTAAGAAGGAGAAATTACTCAAGAATTAGAGGTTGGTGTTAGCAGGGGGGCATGGGTCAAATAACTTTTGATGGGTTGTGTCTTGGGTTAGGAGTATCAAAGTGTTGGCCATGGATATAAGATTAATCAGTTATAATATTAAAGGTCTTAGGGGGATGGCCAATAAGAAAGAAGTGCAAAATCTAATTTTTAGGCAGAAGCCTGGTTTCATTTGAATTCGAGAAACAAATATGGAATCCATAGACAAAAATATTTGTTTTTTATGTGGGGATCAAACAATTTCGACTTCGCTTTCAAACCCTCGGATGAAAGATCTGAGGGAATTCTGGAAATATGGAACAACAATAAATTTAGTATAAGGAACAAATAGGTCCTAGAGCATGCACTGTGGCTGGATGGAGAATGAGGGGAAGATCAAATAAATGTGAACATTATCATGCTATATGCGCCGTGTGACAGAAGAAGAAAAGCAACTCTATGGAATTACTTAAGCACAAGAATTGAATTAAAGAGAGGGGATAAAATATGTATATTGGGATATTTCAACGCAATCAGGGAAAAATCTGAAAGAAGGTGAGGTTGTGATGCTAGGAGTACAAATGAGGTAGAGGAGTTCGATAAATTCATAACTAAAGCAGAGTTGTTTAACATTCTGCTCCAAGGTAGAAGGTTTACTTGGCACATACCTGGGGGTATAGTGATGAGTCAATTAGAAAGATTTCTTTTCACCGACAAATGGAATAGAACCTGACTGAAATATGCCCAGTGGTGCCTAGATAAAGGATTATTCGATCATTGCCCGATCATGCTAAGTGAATCATCTCTCGACTGAGGGCCAAAACCATTTTGTATGCTAAGATGTTGGAAGGAAATGCAAGGCTATCATAATTTCATCATTGAGAATTGGAGGAATACAAAGGTGGAGGGATGGGGTATGTATGTGCTGAAGGAAAAGTTTAAAAAGATCAAGGAGTGTCTTAAAGAATGGCACAAGAAACATTTTCAGAACAAGGAAGGAAGAATTTAAGAAGAAAAGGATAAGCTAAACCAATTGGAAGTCTAAGGAGAAAGCATAGGTTTTACTATGGGTAGGGGTGGAAATAGGTTAGGCCAATAACATGGGCCTATAGGCTAGCCTACATAGGCCCAAACCAGGCTAGACTTTCTTTTTAAATAGAAAAGGATTGGGTTTTTTATAAGCCTATTTAGTTAAAAAGAGGCTAGGCCACAAACCTTTTA